GTCACAGATGGGTGCTTTGGGTCACAGGGGGGACGGGGCCACATCCTTCAGAGCGAAGAATTACTGAGACATGTGTCCCCTTGGCCAGGTCAGGGCATGGTAACACTTTGGTTCACTAACAAGCCTACTATGTGCCAGGTACTTGGGCCACCGCATCAAACGGGACTTAAGCAACAGATACTTATTTCTCACAGTCTGGAGGCAGGGAGTCCAAGATCAAGGTGCTGGCAGATCCGGTTCCTGGTGAGGGCCTATTTCCTGGCTTGCCCAGGACTGCCTTCTCCCTGTGTCCTCACATGGCGGGGGGACGGGGAAACATGCCCTCTTGTATCTCTTCCTTTTCTTATAAGGGCACTAATGTCATCAAGGAAGATCCCAGTTAGAACCTCATAGAAACTTCATTGCCCCCCAGAGGACCCAGGTCTGAATGCCATTACATTGTTGGGAGAGAGTCAGGGCTTCAGTATATGAATTTGGGGTGGGGGACACAATTCAGCCAATAGCACCCACGGTCCCTGACCTTAAGTTGACGCACCTTCATGGGAAGTCACTAATACACATGTAGCTCAGTCAGCTCTTGAATAAATTGTCCCAGCTCCAGCTCCCTGACAAAGCTTGTTGTTCACTATGTCATTTAGCCTCACTGTGAGGTCAGTGACCGTGGCTGGGGAGTACTCCAGGGAAGAGGGGATGCTGCGGCCCACCAGGTCATGTCGCAAACCCAGGGCAGGCCCAGGCCTCCTGTTAGCCAAGCTCCTTCCATTGCCACAACCAACGGCTTTTCCAAGGGTGGCCTGGCATTGTCGACTTTAATTTTCATCCCCCTTCGTTGTAAAATAGTAAAACTAGGCCAGGGAATGGTTGGGAAGAGGCATGTTGTAAAATCAGAGAGGAAAGGGTTTCACGGGTGAACAGGAAACAAACATAAGCAGATCAAGATCATAAAGGCCTTCTGTCCTGTCCACCTCCAGGTAAGTGTGGGACTGCGGTGGGATCCACGGGCCAGATGAGCTTGGCAGAGTTGGGGCTCCCAGAACTGCGGGCATCATCCGTGTGTTCCTTTGTTAGGAGCAGGCTGGGAGCTAAGAAAAATGACCCAGGAACTGGGGAAACAGTGGTGCTTTGGCAAGCAACCTAAGCCTCGAGTGGGCCAGCAAGCTGGCAGCCACCTCAGGAGGATGGGCTTCCTGCTTTTCAGCCCCAGCCCTGGGAAGCTGCCGGAGGAAGAGGCTGGGAGGCCCATGGGCAGGTGCACGGATGGGGTTGGGGGGGGGAGAGTGGGACCAGCGGAGACTTGGCAGACAGCATCTGGGGGAGTGGAGGATGCTTCTGAGAACATTTTCTTTTATTCTTTAAGTCATTTGGCTAAAAAAATATATATATCCTTGACCTTTTGCAAGAGAAGTGTTGGGGCCGGAAACAGTATGTTCTCATATGTCACTGCTCTCACTGGATCATGGCAGAGAAGAGAGGAAAATGAACGGCATCCTGTAGGTTGTCCCTTGGGTTAAAAAGAGAGTAGTGCCTCTTAGGTTACTCAGACCGGAAGGGGGCAGAGCCCTAGACAGGCACTGTCCAGGAGAACTTTCTGGGGGTGAGGAAAATGTTCTATAAATGTGCCGTCCAAAACCACGGCCATCAGCCACATGTGTCTACTGAGTACTTGAAGTATGGCATGAGAAGCTGCGGAACTGAGTTTATGTGGGTGCAAGTTTAGTATGGAAGTCTCCATAAAAAGGAAGTCTCCACTTGTGTTAGGAGGCCAGCTGCAAATTTAAGGACTTGGCTGAATTGATCCTAGGTCACATCTTGGGTCTTAAAGTCAAGGAGAGAGAACTTTGGAGTAGATGAGACCTTGTACCCACAGCCCCACGTCTCCAACCGTGCGTCGGCCGGGTCTCCCAGCCCTCACTGCCAGGGCTGTGGCTTTGCCCGCAACCCCTCGTTCCTTACGCTGCATCAGCATGCTGGCTGACGGCTGGCAGCTGCGGCCTACAGATGTGTTCATTCATTCGCCAGAAGTCGGCTGAGGGCCCGTTCGATGCTGGGCCCTTGGGATCCAGAGATACCGGAAACACAGCCCCTGCCCTTTGGAGCCCACGACCTAGTGGGAAAACAAAGGTGTGTGCTAAACTGCAGTTTGAAGCCAGAACACCGTGCTTTGGAAGGGGGTGTGTAGTGGTCCCTGTTCAGTTAGGGGAGTTGGGAGGAGTGAGTCAGGAGGGAAGCGGTGACCCAGCTGAGCGGAAAACCCTGGGATGCCGCCCAAAGCAGGAGGAGCTGGAGGAAGCCCAGGCTGGGATGTGCAGGAGCAGCAGTCTGGGGCTGGCTGGGAAGCACACGGAGGTGCGGGGGAGACAGTCCATCTAGCATGCCCCAACCCCACCCCCATGTGGGAGAGAGGAGCAGGGTCCCCTCCAGGGCTCCGCTGAGCTGTCCACACCTCTGTCCACAAGGGGGCCACACGCCTGCTGTTCTCTGGGATGCTTTGGCTGGGAGCAACCTAGGCCTTTGTTAGGGTCCAACATCCAGCTGTCACACGAGTCTCGTGGAGTGGTGGTGGCTGCCATGCCCACTACGGGCCCCACCTGGATGAAGAAGCATGGCTTCGTTTGCAGAAAGACTCCCCATCTCCATTCAGTTGTGTCCACCACAGCACATGAGAACCGTAGGGGGAAATGTATATGTGTGTGTGTGTGTGTGTGTGTGTGTTGTGGGGGGTGCGTGTGTATGAAACCAGAGAGATGAAGTAACTCAGAAGAACTCAATCATTGGCAGAGTAGAGACTGGAGGCCTCCCAGAGCCTGGGGGCCCTGTGAGAGCCCTGGGCCCTCGGCATCGCCCACTGAGACAGGGTGGGGTTTAGGGGCTGTCGCCTCCCTCCCACGCCCGTCCCCCAGCTGTGTGCCTTGCGGCTTTGGCATAGCTTACTTAGAAAATGCTGCTAAAAACATGGGTGTTATCTTCTGGTGCATTTTTGGTTTTGTTTTTGAAAAACCTGGTCATTGACTAAGTGTCCCCATTTCTCCTGTAGCCTGTAGAAGGGATGGAAGCCGGTAGCTCTTGACAGCTGACAACTTTTGTAGCAGGAGCTGGGCAGGTGGGAGGCGTGGCTGTTCCGTGAGCAAAGCTCCAGCACCTGGGCAGAGGGGGTCTGCGGGTCATCAGGGGTTAGGGGGTCCTTTTGGCAATGTCATGAGAATATCTGTCCTGGTGGGTTCATTTCTTTTGGCTTCCCAGAATTCCCTCCCTGGTGCCTCTATTTTAAATACCAGTCTCCTTGGGATGTCTAGCTCGAGAAGCCCCATTTAGCTCAGTGCGCTGCCACAGGAGCACCATGGATGGGGTGGGCTGTGGGGTCCTGGAGAGGCCCGAGAGGGCCAGACGCAGACCTGCTGGGATCAACTGGTTCACAGAGCGAGGTTCGATAGCCCGCAGGGCCGATCTTCAGGTCTGGTGCTGAGAATAAGGATTGAGTGTATTTCCAGGTGGACCTTGCCAGGAACTGTACAGTTCCCAGGAGGGCCCACTGAAACCTGCCGAGGGGCGGGGGCTGCCTCATGGGGCCAGGAGGCCTGTGTCTCCCCAAGCCCCTCCTCAGGGTTGATGCCACCCCAGCAGCCACGTCCACCATCTGTTGTAAGATGCTCTGCCGGGCCCGCCACCTGGCAGCTACAAGGGGCCACAGAGAAAAAGGCTACTTGATATTCCTCTAGTACTTTCCACTTAAAAAAGATCACTTTCCCTTCTGGCCCCTTTATCTATGAAGTGTAAACTCGAAAGCACTTATTTATTTATTTTTTTTTTTACTCTTGACAAGCTTATTTCCAGCCACGATCATTGCACCGTGCTTCTGTTTGGGGGTCTAGGTACCAGAGTGATGCCGGGAAGGCCAAGCAGGGTGGTGGGCCTGCCTTCCCGTCGGCCTCGGCCATTAGGGCTGCGGGTCTCCAGGGAAGCTGCGCCGTCTCAATTTTCTTTTCTTTTCCCATCTATAAAATAGGATAATGATACCCATGCAACCTAGATGGCACCTGGTTATTGGAAGGCTCCCATGAGATAATATATGGAAACGGCTTTGTAAAAAGACAAGTAAGGTATAGGTAAGGGGTGTTATTATGGAAGGACAGGTGAAAGCTGGGATTCAGCCCAGCCCTGTTCACGGGGGTGTCATCAGTGGCTCTTTTGTGGGGTATCTTCGGCTTGAGCGGAATGGGTCCAGTTCAGAGAAGGCAGGGACAATTGGGGTGTCACTTCTTCCATGTCCCCTGGCGTACTGGTGGCATAAACCGGGCCAGAGGGTCGGGGGTGGGGTGGGGGAGGCTTTGGCAACACGGTCAGTTCGGGCAGTTGCTATTCTGCCCCTGCCATGGCGGTCTGCCACCCGCGACACCCTGCTCCAACAGGCTCCGCAGCCGCCTGCCTTCACCCCCAGCTTATGCCGCCAGCGCCCCCACACCCCGCTTCCTGGGCTCTGGGGGCCAGTCCGTGGGCCTGGCCAGGCCAGCGCGGCTTTAGGATGAGGGAGGTGAGGAAGAGGCTCGAACTGCCGGCTTGGGGCCTCGGACGATCCTGAAATGGGAATGGCTGAGGCCGGGGGCCCGGGAGCTTGGGGTGTCTCGCCCGGCGGGGCGTTCTGCTCCCGAACCGGCTCCCGCCCGGTTTCCTCTCCTGCCCGGGCGGGCGCAGCGCTCGCAGCCCTGCTTTTTCCGCCAGCCAGGTCGTTGGCGAGTTAGACCTCCCAGCCTCACGGGGCTGCTGTGCGGCTGCGGCGACGCTGGCGACTGCGGCGCTGCGGAGGAGACGGACGGGCTCGGGAGGCGGCGCCATGTGAGTCCCGGGCCGCCGGGGCTGGGGCCGCGGCGGGAGATTACCGTATTTATCGAGGCCGGTGCCGGACCCTTGGGGGCGGGTCACTGCGGGCGCGCTACCGTATTTGCCAGGAGCCGCGCAGACCCTTTCCTGGAGCGGGGAGCGCCGCGACTTAATTACGTATTTATCCGGCGTTGCGAGATCCTCCCGGGGGTGCTGCGGGAGCTGGGGGGTGGGTTGCATCCGCGCCCCGAGGGAGCCGGGGCTTGCAGCCGGTTGGGGTGGGTTGCGGCTGCAGGGTGGGAGGCCTACGTATTTTCGTGGGGGCGAGGTTGCGGCGCAGAGTTTACCATATTTCTCCAGGGTCGCTCGGGCCACGGGAGTTTGCACGGTTGTGTGCGAAGGTCGGGTGGGTGGGGCCAGCTGTTTTGATTCATGCAGCTATTTCATAAAAACGGCGGTGCGGGAAGCTGGCCGTCTTTATGGGGGCGAGGGAGAAGGGGCGCGGGAGTCGCTGCGGGAGAGTTACCGTATTTGCGCTGGGCAGCGCATACTCTAGAGGAAGGAGCCACTGCTGGAGACCGGAGGAACAGGGGCGCAGCCTGGGCTGTGAGTGCGGGAGGGGATGGAGGAACTTGGGGGATAAAAGGGAGCCATTGCTTTAGACCTTCTCCGTAGTCGGGGGCCTTACTCAGGGATTTGGCTGGGGAGAGCCCAGAGGCTGCCTGGAGACAAGGCCCTGCTGAGTCTGGCCAAGAGGACTGTGATGGTCTGTCTTTGCAAATGTCAATGCAGCTGGCTGGGGAAAGCCTTGTGGGTGGGGTCTGCTGCAAGTAGCACTTGTCCCCTTCTCCAGGGTGAGTGTGTGTTCCACGCTGGCCTGAGGGAAGGGGGGGACAAAAGGGGGATCTTGGAGATCCCACTCTGCAGATAGGTCGACTGAGGTTGTAGCAAGCAGTGAGATCTGGAAGCGTGGAGAAGGCCTGTGTGGAGGTCTAGGTCCCTGATGGGGATGGAGGCTGCAGGGGAGTGCCTCCAGCCTACTCTGGAGCAGGCCCCCATGTTCTGCAGGAGCCCTAGGTTTTTGGGAGGACAGGGAGGTGGTGGCGGCAGACAGTGACCTCCTCCAAGAGCAGTGGTGCTTTGGGTGTCTCTAACTCTGTGGCGGCCAGGAGAGTGGTGGTGGTCGTGTGTGTGTGTGTGTGTGTGTGTGTGTGTGTGTGTGTATGTGTATTTTGAGGGGAGTTTAGATTATGAGCAGCTGGTTCATTGAGAAGAACTTTTGCCATTGAGTCAGGGAACTTAGGCCCTAGTCCTGGCTCACCTTGTGTGACCTTGAGGGAGTAAGCTGACCTCAGTTACCCCATCTAGAAAGCAGGGCTCAGAAAGGCCCTGCTCCTTCCCCAGGGTTGCTGTGAGGACAGTGGCAAACTATTCAAGAGGAACGCAGTGCCCTGGGGAAGAGAAGCCTCACAGAACCAGCATGAATGGGATAGAGCAGAACTTGGGGGTGTTTGTGGAGCACTGGGCCAGGCGTCTGTATCCTGGGGATGCCAAGAGGAATCAAGCTGAGACCAGCTCCTGGGAGCTTACACTCCCTTTCAGGGATTTGCAAACCTTTCAGGGGCAAGCCTCATTCAGATAAACAGAGAGCTGCTGCCTTTAATGTTTAATTGAGATCACTTTCAAGTTCACAGGGTTTTTTTGTTTGTTTGTTTCTTGTTTTAAGCTTTTCAAAAATATCTTCGACCCACAGCGTGACCCCACCCTTCCCTCCAGATTGGGGATGCACCCCGCTCCTTGAGATTCTAGTTGGAGAGATAAGACCTGTCCAGGGGCAGCCTAACTTGTAATTCTAGAAGCCCCTAGTGTTACCTATCGGCATTTATCCAATGGTTCGTGTGGTGGGCACAGTGCTTGGTGGGGGAGATATGAGAGGGAGACGGCGCTGTCCTTAGGGCAGGCACAGGGCCAGGAGACAGAGGGGGCCTGACCTGCATGCCTGTGATGACTCGGGGTCATAGGGTTGGGCCATAGGGCTCAGCAGGGGCCGGAGGGGTCAGGGAAGGCTTTGGGGAGGAGGTGGCACTTGATAAAGGCCTTAAGGAGGGGCAGGCTGTGATTAGTGGGTAGAGGAGAAAGAGGGGCGTTCCAGCGGGGAGACGCTGGCCTGAACAAGACTGTAGAGGGGGCTGATACCGAAGCTGTGGGCAGCCAGTGCAATCTCCTCCCTGAGCTTGGGGGCCGGCTCATCCTTGGATGCTCCCCCACCGCCCCTCTTCTGACTCCTCTCTCTCCGCTTCTTCCTCCCCAGGGGCTGGTGACTGCGGCTGGAAGCGCCCATGACAGAGCTGGCGTCCTCGGGGGGCGGGTCCCCTGCGGGGGACGGGGAGGAGGGCCTGGGGGACGAGCGAGGCCTGGTCATCCACCACCCCGCGGAGGAGCAGCCCCACCGCTGTCCGCTGTGCGGCCAGACCTTCTCGCAGCAGCCCAGCCTGGTGCGGCACCAGAAGGCGCACGCGGGGGGCGGCCGCGCGGCCGCCTTCGTGTGCCCCGAGTGCGGCAAGGCCTTCAGCGTCAAGCACAACCTCGAGGTGCACCAGCGCACGCACACCGGCGAGCGGCCCTTCCCCTGCCCCGAGTGCGGCCGCTGCTTCAGCCTCAAGCAGAACCTGCTCACGCACCAGCGCATCCACAGCGGCGAGAAGCCGCACCAGTGCGCGCAGTGCGGCCGCTGCTTCCGCGAGCCGCGCTTCCTGCTCAACCACCAGCGCACGCACGCGCGCATGCCCGCGCCGCACCCGCGCCGGCCCGGCGTGTTCGGGGAGCGGCGGCCCTACTTCTGCGCCCGCTGCGGCAAGAGCTTCGCGCGCGAGGGCTCGCTCAAGGCCCACCAGCGCAGCCACGGCCACGCGCCCGACGGCCCCGCGGCCCATTTAGGCCGCGTGCTCTGATGCGCCCCGGGCCCGCCGCCGCCCGTCTCCGGCCCCGGGGCCGTGGCCACGACTCCCGGAGAGGGCGCTGGGCCGCGGCCCACGTTCTGGACGCCATCCCTGGAGACGGGGAGGGCTGGCTCGGGGTCTTGAAGGAGTGGGCCGCTGCCCGGCTTGGGACGCCTCCTCCTGTGTCTTCTCCATCCTCTGGCTGGGCTCTGGGCCCCTGCGTTGGTTTTCCTCCTCATGCTCAGCCGGCCTAGAGTAGGTGAGACCGAAGGGCCACCCGGAGCCCCTCTCAGGCCTGGGCAGGGGCTGGGGGGCGGACAGGCAGGAGAGGTGGGATGCCCTGGGCTCTGGGGCTATGACTAGCTTCTTACTAGATCTTCATTCCCAGAATGTCAGAGTTGGAAGCCACCTGGAGAGGGCCTCTCTCCACAATGCCCAGGCCACCCCCAGCCCCCAAGGCCTCCTGGCCCCATCACTTACTATCTGGGGTACTTGAGAAGTCACATCACTTCATGACTCAGTTTTTTCATCTGTAAGTTGCATTTAACAAGGGACTTCTCCCTGGGATAGCGTGAGGATTGTAGTTAAACATTACCAGATAAAAGAGGATGACCTCAATGCTCCAGAAACTTCTACTGAGCACCCCGGTGTGTCCCAAGTGCTGTTGGGAGGAGATACAGACACAAAACCTGGGGGGGGGGGGGCACTTGTTACCAACACGGGGGTTGCAGGCTCTCCTAACAGACAGGGGGACGGGATTGGTGTCGCCAAGGCAGTCTGATGGCTTAAACTGGGTTCTGGGGATGAATACAAGTCCTCTAGGGAGAGTGAAGGTGGAGGGTCTCTGAGGCAGGGGCAGATAGAGGAGGCTCATATTTGCCCTACAAGGGACATTGTGGCCAGGGAGAGAGGACACCAAGCTGTTTAATGAGGAGAGCATGGTGATCTCAGACATGCAGCTCAAGGAGAAATGGAAGCACTGTGGGGACAGGTCAGAGTGGGGTGAGAAGGAGCCTTGAGGATTGTGGGGTTATCTGGGTAAGAGAGAATGAGTCCCCTAGCTAAGAGGCTTGACCAAGTGGAGAGCCAGGTCTGGCCCCCAGGTCCCCGATTCCAAGTCAGTGCTCCAGAGCATAGGCGTCGTGAGCCATTTAGCAGATGAAGAAACTGAGGCTCAGCCAAGCTTGCTCCAAATCTCCCTAAGTGCTTAGTGGTGGAGCAGCGCATGCCTGGCCCCCAAGACCCTTCATCTCTACCGCACTGCCTGTGAAGGAGGCTCCTGCTGGTGGGAACGTGGAGGGTCAAGGGTGGGGGACTGGGACTGGAGACCAGGTGGTAGGATCCTGGGGAGGAGTGCCCCTCGGTGGTGTGGGGGTCTGGGGGAGCATGGCATCCACAGTAGTGGGTTGGGAGGAAGGGAGTTGGAGTATTGGAGGGGACCTGCACTCACAGAGCCCTTGCTCTGTGCCTAGCCTGTCCCGGAGATGCTGGAGACCTGTCTCCACCCTCTACCCTTTCTTAGAGCCTCGTGGCTCCTTGGGGGTCAGTGGCCTTCGGCCTGCCACCAGGTGGCCACTGCTATGTGGACGAGTACTTAGTGGCAGAGATGATGAGATTAAACCGGGACCTGGGACATCTGGAGCTTGAACGCACTGATCTCAAGTTGTCTCAGTGGTAAAATAGACCGATAATCCCAGAGCACTTGGTAGGGGGCTAAGAGGACTGGCTCGAAGCTCCGGACAAGTGCAAGGTGGCCCAGCTGACAGCTCCCACCTAGCCACAGGGTCGGGGTAGGGAGCAGGGGGGGGCGGCGGCTGGGTAGGGCCGTGTCAGAGCCCCAGACCTGACCCTGGTTTCTTTGTCTCTATGAACAGATGTGGAGTGGGCAGGCCCTCTAGGCGGTGTGTCAGGCACATCTGGGCCCAGAGACGAGGAATGGGACCCCGTGGGGGCCTGCCCGCTGGCATAAGGACACGTCCCCTAAGACCTACCTCGGGAGGTGTCCTGCAGAGGGGATCCGTGGAGCCTGGAATTGGAGGCGGGTTCTGTGCCCTGGTGGAAAAACTCCCCCAACCTGGTGGGAGTCACAGCTGGAGAAGAGCTCGTCCTGGCGGCCCGGCCACTGTCCACTCTCCTGTGGCCACAGGGACAATGCCTGTGTGGAGAGCCGGCTTCTCTGCACCTGCCTAAGAGAACGCAGCAAGTCGGTGGCAGACCTGGTTCTAGAGGCAAAGCCTTGCCCCAGGTGTGGCCCATACCTGCCACAGGCTTTGCTCTCAGAGTGACCGTTCTTAGTCCGTGGGAGGCATGAAGCCCTTGGAAAATCTCACAAACCTTATGAACCTTCTCCCCAGGAAAACACGCATACTCATGTAGACACAAAAATCTACAAGCAAGTTCAGAGCTCCCAGACACAACCCGCCACTCATTCTTCACCGGACATAGAGCCTGTGTCACTATACAAGTAGCACTTTTCCCTCCCCAGCTGAGCTTCCTGCCCTCGTCCAGGAATAAAGGATTCTGAGGAGGGGAACCTTCCTCTCTCTTCTCCTGGGCCTGACTGTGCATCAGGCTTCTAGAACCTTTCCTCCCCTCTGCGAACACTGCTGGAGGCTCGCTGGGCTGGGTTTGCTCTTGTCTGGTTTGGGGCTGCTTGTTGTGGCTACCTGGTTGCTGGCTTTTGCCATGCAGGCTGGACTTCGATTTCACTGTAGAGGTGGTGGGGAAAGCTGGAATTTCTGTGGATGTGGGGTGAGCATGAACTTGGACTGAGGCTACCTGGGAGAGGGATCCTGCTTCCAGCAGCCAAGCCACGGAGGGCCATCCCCTGCCAGACCAGGAGTTCAGCTGCAGCCGGGCATGGGGTGGAGACGGCTGGGCAGGGAGACCAAGCCTCACTCCTGGGGCCTGCCAGTGCTCTGGCGTGGACAGTGGGACAGGGGTGACGACTTTGGTTTTCACCCTGAGCTGGTTGGCCTGGAGCTCACTGGCCTCCTCAGAATGAACCACTTGACCTGAAAAGATGTGGCTGATTAGGGCTGGGATGGGTTTTTGATGACAACCCACTGATCATGATACTGTTATATTTAGTGCAATCCGTGGGGGTGGGGAGAGGCCTATAGCCATGGGATCTGGTTCCAAGCCCAGCAATGGAAGTCGTGTGGGTCACAGCACCGTTGTTCTGCTGGGGGGTCCCAGGGCCAAGCTAGGTTTGGTCAGGGTTGTCGGGAGGCCTCCCCAGCTCCTGGCCCGGGACCTTGCTGGTGGTGTCTCCCATGTGGTCTGGCACAGAGGGTCTTACGGGCCATCTGCCATCCGCCTCGTCCTGATATCAGACTGCTCAGGGGGAGAGCAGAGGAAGAGGAGGCAATCTGTGCTCTAGAAGCTTCCATGTGATCTGACCCTTGGCCCGCCTGAGGGAGCCTCGCAGATGCACTCTCTTCTCTGCTGTGTTGTCCTCTCATCTCCCTTCCCTGTAACTTGTCGCCCACATCCACTGTTGCCTTCTCTGCCTTCCCTGGAATTGGTCCAAAATGTGGCCCTTCCCCCACCCTGCTGATCCCTCTTCTCCACCAGGCCCTCCATCCTCGTCCTCCGAACAGTCCCTGTGTTGACACGTCATCTCACCCTCGGGGACCCCGGGTTGTCCATGTGCACGCATGTGGATGTGTGTGTGTTGGGTCTCCAGCTAGACTGTGAGCTCCCTGAGGGCAAGGGATGGGCCATGTCTTCTCAAAGCCCAACAGGGTCCAGCACGGGGCTGGGCTCATAACACTCAGGAAATACTTGTCAGCTGGCTGATGGGTCCAGTGCTGGAGGCGGTGCGGTGACTGGCCGTGAGGAGGAGAGGACCCGTGAGTTCCACATGGGTGCATCTTGCTGGGTCATGAGCTGGCTCCCCCAGGGCAGTAATGGCCGTAGGGGCCCTCAGGTGCTCCCCTATCTGGGGCAGCGGGGCAGGAGGGACCCCCGACATGGCTACGCAGGAGTGCGTGGCAATGGTTTCAGGGCTGGATATTTCCGTTGGCCACTAAGACCGGCCGGGGCTGACCAAGTGGAATAAATGTTCCCTCGACATCAGCTGGTGTGACCTGTGGTCATTTGGGGCTCAGCTGGGAGCAGGGAGGTGGCTTCTAGCTCTGCCTCCATTCTGTCTCGAGGAGTTATGTTCCGTGGTGGCCGAAGGCTGGAGAAAGCATAGCTCAAAAGCCACAGCATTGCCGCGATGAGTAGCTTGGCCACCTGCCCCTGTGGGTGAGTGACTTCCCTCCTGCTGTTGGCGAGGTACTGGCCCTGATCACGGCCAAGGCTCACTCCAGAACCTTGCTTCCGTGTCCTATTCTTCTTTTTTTTTTTTTAACATTTATTTGTTTGAGAGAGAGACAGAGCATGAGCGAGGGGAGGGGCAGAGGGTGAGAGAGAATCTCAAGCAGACTCCCCGCTGAGTGTGGGCCCCGACTTCAGGCTCCATCTCCTGCCCCTGAGATCATGACCTGAGCCAAAAGTCAAGAGTCAGGGGCACCTGGGTGGCTCAGTCGGTGAGGCGTCTGTCTTCAGCTTGGGTCATGATCCCAGAACCCTGGGATCGAGCCCTGCGTTGGGCTCCCTGCTCAGCGGGGAGCCTGCTGCTCCCTCTCCTCCCTCTTTTTTTTTGTCAAATAAATAAAAAAAAAATCTTTAAAAAAAAAATCAAGAGTCAGACGCTCAGCTGAGGAGCCACCTAGGTGCCCCTGTGTTCTGCTCTTTGAGTCAGATTTGGGGCGGTGTCGATTGTTTCTATCAGCCAAGGAACGTCCTGAGGGGCAGTGACTCAAGGAGGGAGGCTTTGGAACTTGGGTCTGCTGGGTCCATCAGGCAGTGCTCTTGTTCAACTCAAATGGACTAATGACAAAATGGGGACGTGTTGGCTCATGGGGCAGCCGTGCAGGGACTTGATGGTGACAGCCAGGTCCCTAGCACGTCTTTGGCTCTGCCCTTCCTCTTGGGGGCTGCCTCCCCAGCTCGCACACAGGACAGGAAGAAGCCCTCGGCCTGCTGAGGCTCGGTTCCTGCCCTAAAGGCCTGAGCCCTTCAGCGGAGGGCAGTGATCTGAGTGGCCAGGCCGGGCCCAAACTGCCACCGAGGGGTCGGCCCCTCCTGGAGCCCGTGGTCCAAGAGCCAGTGAAAGGCCGGTTCACCAGGGGTGACCAGAAGGAGAAGCAGTGAGGAGGCTCCCGGTGGGGAGACCCTGGCTCCTGCTCCGACCAGCACCATCGAGCCACCTGGGACCTTGTCCCTGCACAGTGGCTGCCCCACTCCAGGACCCGAGTCAGGAGCTGCATGTCCGTGAGATCTGCAGACAACTGGGTGTGGGCACTCTGCACTGTCGCTTTCCCTCCGCCCCGGCTAGCCTTTTGACTCAGACATTCCGTTCACCCTTCAGGGAGGAGATGGAGATGCGCGTTCCTCTGAGGCTGGCTTGCGGGTGTGGAGACAAGATGCCGCCTCCAGCAGGGTTCAGGACCCCGGCCGCAGCCGTCCCCACCCCATCCTAAGGATGTTTGCCAGCAGCACCTCTCCTGACCTGGACAGAAGGGCCCAGAAAGTGGCCAGTCCTGGGTGAGGAAACAGTTCTTCCCCCCACTCTGGGTCCGCCTCTCCCCTTTGTCTGAGCCTCTTCCAAACATGGCCAGGCCTCAGTGCCCTCACGGGAATGACGCCCAAGCGAAAGGATGTCTGCTATGGATGCTGCTGGCGCCACACCAGCTGCCCTTTCCGAGCTGTCCTGAGTATTGGCTGCTAATGGTTCACAGCTGGTCGGCTATGGGCTGCCCCAGCCAACCCCCAATGAGGCTGACACGGCAGGGGGTGAGCTCTGGATTGCAGCCACGGCTCAGAAACCCCCCGGGGGATCCGAGGACACCAGTTTCCAGCTGAGACCCCATCACTGGCTCTTTCCCCACCCAATCTTGCTTCCCACTCCCCTTCTCCAGAGAACACTTCTCAATAGTACTTATTCCCCTTGGGCGGAATCCTTGTCTCAGGCTCCGCTTTTAGGAAGACCCCAGACTAAGGAAATGTCTTGAATACAAGCTTGAAGCGCTTTGCACGTGCAAGAGATCACAAGTATCTTTATTCAGTTCTGCGTGGGGCCAGTTACCCGTAGGTTTTCAGCAAAAAGCTGCCAGTAGATGAATAGATTGGGGTGGCCATCTCCTTCCCGGGGGGCCAGGCGTGAGGCCTAAGTGCTGATGTGGCAGCTCCTTACCAGCTGCTCTGAGGCCCCTCCCAACTGGAGGCAAGGCCCAAGAATCTAGATCAAGGGTCAAGGACTGGTATCTAGTATTGCTATGTGGCTTTGCAAGACCCTTACAATTTAAAAAATATTTTTAAAGAAGATTTGTTTGTTTATTTGAGAGAGAGAGAGAGAGTGAGCACAAGTGAGGTAGGGGAGCGGAAGAGGGAGAAGAAAAGAGAGAACAGGGAGCAGACTCCCCGCTGAGCACAGAGCCTGACACGGGGCTTGATCCTGTGACCCTGGGATCGTGACCTGAGCCAAAACCAAGAGTTGGATGCTCAACCCACTGAGCCACCCAGGCACCCCAAGATCTTTGCCATTTTGAACCACAGTTAGTTCTGATGCAGGAAATGAGCCGTGCAGACGAGCCACTCTCTGAAGTTTCTTTCAGGGATGAAATTCCGTAGTCGCTTCTTTACCGCTTGTGTGGGCTCTTTGGGGCTGCGCGGAGCCGAATCCTCTGCCTTGGTCCCGACACTGTTCCTATGACTCAGCCACGCTCTTCCTATGGCCGCTGCCACCTCTACTCCAGAGCACATGCTTGTAGGACTAGAGCTTTTTCTTTCTTGAGGCGAGATGACTGCAGTTTCTAGCGGCAGAGACAGAAAGACCCCTTGGAGCAGACCTTTGTTTCTGGAAGGTCATCGGTTAAACCCACATAAAACAAATTCTCCCTGCTCATCCGGAACTTGGGCAGTTTCAAAGGCAGATGCTTCAAGGCAACATGTTAGCTGTTGTGTTTAATCATAATTATTTTTATTTTAGTTGTTTAAAGGTTTATTTATTTGAAAGAAAGAGAGTGAGCGCGTGCTGAGTGTGGGACCTGGCAGGGGTTCAATCCCCCCATGGGCCCAAGAGCCACACACTGAGCCACCCAGGCGCCCTCACAATAATCTTTTCTAAAAGCTATTGTTAGGCAGAGCCCCTGGGGATAGGGGCCTCTGAAATGCGGGAAGGACCTGAAATTCTTTCATTTGTGAGGGGACAAGCTGGTCCTTCTCCTTGTCTTCTAGGGACAAGCAGCGCCCCCTGGACATTAAGTTTAAAGCATGTGGGTTCAAGAGAGCCTCTGTTTCTAGAAGCAGTGTGAACTGTGTCCATGTGCGGGGCCAGAGGCGCTCTGGAGGTGGGTGGCATGGGGTGCCCAGGGGGTCCTGGGAGGTGA